CAGGCGTCTATAACGCGTGCGAGATCACGTCTGACCGCTCGAGAGGATTTTCCACTGAATTTCTTGCTCGCGACCGCGACAACGAGAATGATGGCAAGATCGAGAGGGAAAATAACAGAGGACGAAAGTGAATAGCCTGCACGAATCTATTTTTGTCTTTGATATTCTGTATCTGTATAAATCGCTTATGTAGCTAGCTTCTATTTAGGGTTTATCATATTCTTGAAAAATAAAAAATAATATTTTTATTTGACATTAAAACCACCAAATAGCTTTGTCCTCAAAAAGCTTTCTTATCTCTTTTGAAATTACTAAGCTGACAGAGTTAAAGTTTTTTATGAATATCATGTACAAACCCTCTCTTAAATTAATAAAAAGAAAAAAAATATACAATCTCTCTCTCTCTCTCTCTCTCTCTCTCTCTCTCTCTCTCTCTATCTCTCTTGTCAAATTAAAAAAAAATGTAAAAAATCTTAAAACTCTAGATTTTATATTAAGATAAAAATAGTTGGTGGTTTTAATGTTGAGGTATCCTTAATAATTCTACATTCCATATTATTTCTTATGTTTTTTATCTTGTATAAAATGTCATTTTTAATTTTATACAAGATAAAGAATATAAGGATAATAGAATTGATTATAAGTTAATTTACAGTAGCTTAATCATAATGTTTACGTGTGCATGATCGCAATTACTTAATTTGAAAAACGATCAAAACTGCACACTACATTTACGTATAAAAATATTCTATAATCGAAGCTTCATTAAAAATCTAATTGTTTAGTTGCGGCAGATAAAAACGCGCATATAAGCAGTGGACAGAGGGATCATAAATAAGCTACTTCCTACGCTTCTCTCTTGCACAAGAATTATTCGGAGCGCGATACTTCCTCCTCCGGTTTTCCGAGTAAACGGAATACGCACAACTCGTTTCCTCTAATTTCATTCAATTGCACTATTTTATGCAAACGGACAACAGTCGGCAATAGCCGCTAATTACGTTGAATAAAAAACAGAACAGTTGATGCTGCTTGACTTCGTATATTTCTCGGTACGGATGCAATTAAAAATATTCTATCAATTTCTCATATTTATATCTTACAAATATAATACAAAGTATACGTTACAAATTTTATATATGTTTTATATATGTTACAAATATCGTTACAAATATCTATATGTTTTATTCTTCCCGCTATATCTTCTATCTTAATTAGGAGTCCGTCAGAGATGCTATTCTATTACGTATATAAATATTAAAATAATTTCATATAGTTTTCAATATTGTCAATAATATCACGATATTTGATAGTACGTAATATACGAATATAAATCTCAAATCGTTTTTCTATTCGTTAAGTCAAAAGCGATATACCCCCATGATTACTTCCATTCTGCTCATACATATTTTCTTTGATTGCAATATAAATTACGCTTCGTTGCAATTACACTCATTATTCATTAAGTAATAAAATATCATACCAGATCCTCTAACAAGATTTGTAATTAATCCGCGTGAGGTCTTAACATGGTTACATCTGAAAAGAAGGACTAGATATCTTAATAATGTACTGATTTTATAATTCGACCTCTGCACGTAATTGGATTAATAATACAAATAAATTAATACCGAAACCGACTAATTACGATAAAGTGATAAATTCGCCGCACGGTATATATTTCCTTTCCGCATGTCAACATTTCTGAAACAATCTTATGAATATTTTGGCGTATTTATACATTCGCAGAAGCAATTATCAAGCTGAGAGTTCAATAACATTATTTTAGAAAAGCAGAGATATTAAATAAAATTGAAATATCTACAAAAATTATAAATGTATATTTGAGCTTATTATCTTCACAGATGTTATCTTCACTAATTCACTCTGAGAAAAAAAATGAAAATTCTTCGGTGACTTCCACCTCTTATTTTTCGCATAATCGTATTTAAATTTGCATAAGCGAATATAAAAATATAGCTTGCAAAACTATAAATAGATACTTTATGCATTAATATGAAATGTGAAAAGTGAAATATTAAAGAACAGCGTAAAGAAAATTCTTATATTACACAATTTTGCGTACAAATTATTTTGTGTGTGATATTATTTTTTGTTTTGAAGAGTTTAAAGTTAAGTTTAAAATTTTGGATAAGAGCAAAAATTTATCGCCCAACAACGTGCTGGATATCGAGCAGTATACGAGAACAAACCGTCGGAAGAAGTATACCGCTCCATGAAAATTCTGAACAGATCCCAGAATCGAGCTGTCAAAAAAATGCAAGCGTTTCACTTTCTCAGCGACAAATGGACAAGTACATCGATTTAAAGGAATACGCCGCACTAACAAGAATAAAGCTTTTAATGTGCAACGTCTGCAGGATCAAATTTCCGAATGAGATCGTGTTCAAGACTCACAGGATTCGATAAAGATCATGGAAGATTTTTTCAGTGCGGATTTTATTTTAATCAAATCTCCAAGTATGCGAATGATATTCAAATGAAAGAAAATCTTATTTTAGCTTTGCATTGTTAATATAGAGGAACAATTGCAATTAATAATGACATATTTGACATATTATTAGTTTTAAATAAATTATAATTAATTTCGATCCAAATTACTAATTTTCGAAAAAAAATGTACACATATATAATATATAAGTTTAATAAATTCTTTTTTACATAAGTGTATTCGAAATACTATTATAGATATATTATTACAATTTCAAAACTATTTACCTATAGATATTACGATTCAAAACGTACTCTTCAATATTTTTGTCTCTTTCCTGACTTAAAATGGCTTTCGTCGCTATGTAGTACTTGATACTAATAATGCAATTATTCTTATCAAGATCATCAACCTTAGAGAATCATCTGCATACGCATTTTATTCCGAAGCCTCTCGCGTGCAGACAATGAGAGCTCGAATTTCAGGTAGTTAATGCTAATAACTATTTGTAGATGACCTTAATATCAGATCTCTTCGAACTCTTTGTTACACAAACTGGCACGCTTTGTTTTCAGATTAATGAACACTTAGTAAAGTGCTCTATTGCATGCAAAATTATATTCTATCTATCTCTAATTTATCAAATTATATTATAAAAAATCAATTAAGTAAAAATCACGTAAAAATCTAAAGAATTTAAATTTAAAATAAATTTAAAATAAATTTCTATTTTCTGAAAAATTAAGCTGCTTTTTGGATATCTTTTAAACATTTCATAGTTCGCATGTTATTTAAAAAATTGTTATCCAAACAAGTAATAATTACATATCATGGTTTTATTACAGACAAAAAAATGCGTTGAAGAAACACGAAACTGAAGCACGTTTTAGTAGAAAAAAAACGGTTAAGTACTTTTGCAAAAAAAAAGGGACGCTATCAATCGCTGCGTGTTCATAAGTTCATACACATAATTAACACGAAGCCATACGAATATCTGACCTGCGGCAAAAGCTTCCCGAAGCCCAATAGTTTCCGGACTCGTGTACTTGTCCATACCATAGATTTGCCGTGGACACGCAATTTTTGCCCAGCGAAGTTCAAGAGAAA